ATATCATCCATAATTTCTGCACGAAGCATTATGTGTGTCTCCATGAAAAACATTTTATCTGTGCCATTTTAGTTTTATCTTTGTTGAATAAACATGTTTTTTAAAGTCGATGATTAAGTGGGACATCTTTATTAAAATCTTTAAAATCGCATCACATAAATGACTCATAAAGAAGCAGCAAATACATAAATTTAATGAAATATTTACGGCTTTGGCTGTTCTAACAATTGTCTTATACATGATTACATGCGCCAGAAGGATAAACGTAAAGAAAACACCATTTAGTACAAGGAAGATGAATACGGAGTACTCCCATCCTGGAAGGTGGTCTTGAAAGAGCTGTAAGGGAAGGCAGACCGCTGATCGTCCAAAGAAATGTGTGTTTTTTTCATAACTGTAAAAGTGGAACATCCTGGTTACTGAAATTATAGTGAAGGCAGCTGACCAGACTACAATCACTCGTACCCTTCACGCAACCACAACGCTCATATCAGCGTGACACAGTGTGACAAGGCTGCAACATTGCAGATACATTGCAGATAACTTAGTTTTAAATTGCATGAATGGAATAAAACAGAAAAATTTATCCTTCAAGATGGCAAATGTCAAAAGAGATTTCAAAAAGCAATCTTGTCGTCAAATCTAAAAGCATCCAAGAAAAGTATAAGAATAAATTACAACAAAAAACAACACCCTTAAAAAACAGATGCAATTTAAATATTTCGTTTCATTGTTTCTTCCCTTAGAATAACAGGGTATGTAGCTAACAACGGAAATAGTGAGTTAAGTTGAAAAATAAATACAAAAAAATACGTTTCATGAAAGTTTGTAATTTTGTACTCACACAAACTGAAGTGAGGAAGTGTACTTAAATAGGCCATCTGGAATGCTTTGAAGACGATTGTATGAGATATCTCTGAAAAATACACAAAGTTTTTTTAATTTTAATTTAAAAAACATCTTATTATCCATGCAACACGTAATTTCAAACAAATAAAAACATACTTACAACGTCCTCAATTCTCTTAAGTCACGAAAAGCACCAGGCTCTATTTCTTTTTTACGTTATCAGCACAATTTCTAGAGTAGATGAAACAAGTTTATCAAATATCATATGACTCACAAAACATAACCTATATCTAAAACTTTTGCAAAACTACAATATAATGAGGAAAATTTGATCTTACAATTTTGAAGTTCAAACTTTTTCATGAGCCAAGACGCCTTGATCTTGTTTAATTTGTTTCCTTTCTAGTTCCTGCCAAATTCAAAAACACTTCATTCAACAAAAGATTACGTTCATTTGTCAATTGTGAACGATAAACAAAGATTGTCGAAATTTACTTAGGTAAAAGTGTTAAATTATATTTATATTGAGGTATCAATTTGTACGTGTCTTAAAATTTTTATCTGGTCCATAACAATGTAAACTTCGTATATAACTTATACTTTATTCGAATGAATTTTTTTCAGAGTACATAGACAAATTATAGGAGTGTTCAACGTGTTTACACACAGAACAAATAGAAGCAAGGTTTGTCAATGGAAATGGCAAACTCACAGTGATTTAAGTTTTGATAAACCATGAAACATTCCATCACCAATTTCAGAAAGTAAGTTATACTCTAGAAATCTATAATAGAATAAAGAAAATTTTTAGAATAATCTAGAAATTTGTTTTTATCTGGAACCAGAATGACTCGTGGTTCTATATACTGTAAAGGAATTCTTTTTTAAAAACTTACAAGAATCTGAGCTTTTTCCTTTTGGAAAATACGTTGTTTTCTAGATTCTTTAGTGCATTTTGACGAAGACTTCTGAAAAAAAATTCAAATAGACATAAAGTTACATGAAACATTTTTGATGCAAAACCATTCCTATTACATTGGTTTAAGACTTACAACATTTTGAGATTTAGTAAAGACTTTAGCAGACTGGGATGAAAGTCATCTATCCAGTCATACTGAGATCTCTGCATTTGAACGAGAAAAAAACTATGTGTTTGCTAAGCAATACAAAATGTGATAAAGTTCAAACTCTTAAGATAAGTTAAAATTATATTTCTATCGTGCAGTTGTGCTCAATGTCGTTATAAAAGTAAGAAATGCCCTAATGAAAATCTTTCAGTGCATGCTTTGTCATTTAGAAATTGGTTAATTTTTCATAAAACCTAACGAAAGCAAATGTATCGTTACAGAATATACACTGTGCAGAAGGGCCACTCTTCAGTTAATTTGTCGTGATTCTTTATGTGTATGCTCCAGTTTATAGCCATCGTCCTGGACAGTCAATTGTTGTCAGTGGTATATAATATAATATTGGAGTTCGTGATGTAGGGACATAAAAACATCTTTTTTTTTATTCAATCTGTATTATCCGATACACATCTTATACATTATGAAATATCCAAAAGTGAAATATCCATCACTTTTAAAATTTGATTATCTTGTCAAGACAACAAGATAAATGTCAGAAAGATTCGTGTTTTTTTTATTTATTTCATTATCTAAAAACTACCTAATAATCTAACTCCTGTTCAGATTTTCTTTTATTCAGTTTTCATATTCTTAGTTTGCCTTCCCCATTATTAAAGTTGCGTAGGTTTTATTGTCTTCATGCAGTTAAACAGATCACCGATAATTGTTTGTAATCTAAAATAGCGAGAGTGAATTACTTCGTGTACTACTAATTATCGTTAACGTAGGTATTGAATATTGTTTTTAAAACCTTTTTCGTCGATTTCAAGGGTTACTTCAACTTCAACGGGTTGGGTAAACGTTGTTGTTTGTGGGTCGTAGATGATCTAAATTTAAAAATTTTCTCGCTCGGCGGCAACCATGGTGGCAAATCGTGAGGTTATAAGAGAGCATGACCAAAAACTTTTTGCTAGCTACGCCTCTGTTTACATAATCAGCAAGACTCGTGGACGATTGTTTTTAACAATACGTTATACAATACAAATTTATCGGCCCGTTATATGCAATGTGTTCATGTTCTTTTCTAACTTTATATGCTTTACACGGACAGCACAAGATAGAAATCTTCCGATTTCCAGATGATAGGCGGTGTAGATCATTATTAGAGTTCTGGAGTGGATAGTCAGTAGTACCATTTCGTGGTCATAACCTTCTGGTCATTTTTCTTCCATGATGAGAAGCATTACCTGCCTACATCATCTTCTCGTACAGCAACACTGAGATTACCAAAAGTCTTCATGCTGACACCTATAATTTAAGATATTTTTCAAAGAAAACCATAATTAAGGTACATTTTAAAACCACTCTTGGTATATTAAAGTTCGGGCGACCAGGATAAGCTGCATTCGCAACAGAAGGTGTGGAGGATGGAATTACAAGTAAAGAGCTCACAGAATCTAGCATTTAAAAATAAGCGTAAGTTATTTTGTATGCATAATTATTTATTACATAAAGTTATGTTCATCAGATGTTGATTACTGACCTTTGGGGCGAACGTCGACGCGATGAAGTGAAATACAACTCGACGAACTGAAAAACGACGCAACGAACTGAAATACAATCCAACGACATGATGTTGCATTGCAGTTTAAAACAGATGATTGCAACGCAAAGATACATGGTAACGCCATGACATATAAATTTGCCAAGTGAAGACATGAACTTGATTTTGTCCCCAACCTAACTCCATAATATAAGACAAGGACTTAGTCTATCTACACTTGATTTGAAGTCATGCGTGTCGATTATATTTCCTGTGAGAAACAAATTGCAAAATGCAAATAAGCTTCACAGTTCAACTGTATTTAGGAAAATAATTAACGGTATTGTGAATTATGTAATTGACAATGTATTCGTTAACAAGAAGTGGATACGCTTTATTTGTGTTTTTTTTTCATGTTTCGTGGAAGTAGTGAAACTGTGGAAGAATTCTCCTCACTCTATTTGAAACAGCTGGGCTACGATTCATTTTATATTGGTTTAATGCCTTTGTTTGGTCTAGTGACACAGTTGACTGGCGTTCCTGTTTGTACTTATTTGGCTGATAAATTTCGACTCCGTAAATTTACTTTGATTCTGGCGACACTAATTTCTATACCTGCAATCATGATGTATTTGATTCCTCAAGCGACGAGTTCACCAAGTTCAGATACGGAATTACGAAAGATACTTTTACAAAACCCAAACAAATTCCTAAACAGTTCATTCACAAATCAAAGAACTCTACCACATGGTATCACTAACAATTTTAACGAGAGCACAAACCTTAATGAGTTTTCGTACTATCTGGGAAATTCGTCAGTATTCAAAAACAGCAGCCAACGAAATCATGGTAGAGATAAACTTTGGTATTTTTTGCTTTTGTGTATTCTAAATGGAATATTTGAGCTTTGCAGAAGGGTAACAATTGGAATAATGACTAGTATCGGAATAAATCATGAAAAAGATATGTAAGTTTTCATACTACTTGGGATGCGGAGCTGCTGGGTCAGGAATTGCACTTTGCGCCGTGGCACTTGTTGCTGGACAATTTAAATATAGTAGATGTGGCATAGAAGTACCAAGTTATTTTGTTGCATTTCCAACTGCAGCAACTTTACAGTGTTTTATTTTACTAGGGGTAGCATTGTTGAAGTTTGATTACAAGGATAATGCAGAGAGCATCAACTATAAGAAAGCAGTATTAACATTGCTGAAATCACACAACATTTTCATTTTGTATAGCTTTACATGTGGGTGCATGTAATGGGTTTTACTCGTTGGCAGTTTTGGTACATGGAAAAACTTGGTGCAAGTACGACAGTCATGGGTGTTGAGGGATTGTTAAAGAGGTTGATTATCTCGAGCTTTTGGTTTCTGACCACTGGTTATGTCCTCAACGCATTTGGCCTATACGTCACAATGACACTTTCTTTGTTATTTGCAGTTGCATTTATTCTTCTTGCGCTTATTAAGAACCCTGGTTTGTTATTCTGATTGATAACTTTGAAATTTCTGCCTATGCTTTTCTATACAGCTTCTGCGTTTCACTTCTCAAAAGCAGAATCAGAAGCGTTCTCTTCATTCATTCAAGGTTAGTGTAATGTTATTGCTTACCTGCACCATACATAAAACCACAATATGTCTTATGAACAATTATTGATATAATTTGTTCTGCAATGATTTTCAACAAAGTGTTAGCAATTTTTACTTTTAAAGACTCTTCTTTTGGTGTTTATATTGCACGTTTATAATATACAAACACTTATGTTTGTAGAAACTTTCATCGATAAAATTAATGTTGTGGATAACTGACGTATCCAGTCCGCATTTTGGTCAAGATATGTAAAATTCAGCTCATTAACATCATTTACTCCTTTACGAACATTAATTCTTTTAAGAAAGTAAATACCAAAGTATGGAAAATACACGACAAAACTTGCATTCTGGCTACGTTGCAGTTATGAATTAAAATATAAAATACACCATTTGATAAAGTAACTTCGTAATTGCTTAATTTGAGATCAAAATACGATTAAATTGCAAAAAATTTTTTGAAAAGCCGTTTTTGTTGTTTTGCTTTATAAAATCTTGTATATTTGCTGAAATAAGTATATAAGCCGAGTTACAGCATTTAAAAACAATTATTTGCTGTCCGAATTATTTTATGTATTTATCTAAAGACAAAAATAAGCAGCATATTCAATAAAAAAATTCTATGTGGTTTTGTTCAGTGTTTTGCTCTGGTTTTTAATAAATTGAATTAATCGTCATTTAATTATTGTTACCTTCAGGTGTGTTGACTCTTACCATGAATGGCGTGGGAAAAGAAGTTGGCTCGATATTGACAGGATATCTGTTTAGAGAATGTGGCATTAAAACAACCTTGTGTGGATACTCAGTAATTTCTTTTGTATGGTTCATATTTCTGGCAGTTTACACTTTCAGCAGTCAAGAGGCTCATAACTACAAGAGAGTAAAAACAGAAGCTGAGAGTGATATCGATGAAGAGAAACTCCCATAATAAAAACTATTTCAACTTACCATTACTGAAAAAGGTTTTGTCAGTAAATAGGTTATTTTGTGATGCAAAACATGTACTACTTATTTACCGCTGTGCCTGGTGGCCTGGTAATGTAATTTTTAATGAAAATTTTATTGCTCGTTTGCTGTAATCAGCAAAGTATCGAATCAATTAAAATGAATGGCATGCTTCAATTTTGTAATTAACAGCAGCTGCAATTCGTATTAGATTTTCTAAATATTTCTGCTGGTAATAGCAATTGTCGTTTCCTGAATCTGTTCTTACATTGGACTTCAGCCCAATTTTTTCCGATAAACCATTAAAAATGAAAAGTATCTGTTTGATAATATCTATGTTATGTGTAAAAGGATTTGCATGCCCTTAATATGTGTTGTTTCATATAATGTGAGTCGTAATGTAATTATTTGTCTGCAATTCACATGTGCTGGTTTTCAGTACAGACACTGATCTCGTAATACGACTTGATAAAGCAACTCTGTACTCGTTGTAGTTCAACGAAGCAATTATTACCGGTCGAGGTCATCAAAAGACTATTTGAAAACAAACAAAAGTGTGAAAAATTTAGCAATGCAGAACTAAATCAATCTTTAAGATTATGCAAAATTCTAAAACAACCTTTGTGATAATTTTAATAACACCAGCCAGCCGGTGTTACCGTTAATGCCTTTAATCAAGTTTATGTATAAACACTTTTAGATAACTTAACTGCTTGCAAACAGTTTACGTTGAAAACATCTTTCTTGAGAGAGTCTAAAAGTGTTAGAAAATGTACGTAAAGGCACGAGAAATATTGACCTAGCCCAGCAACACAGAATATGCAACTAACTAGAATGGTCATTCCTTGAAGTTTTTGGTCACACCGAAAATTGTCAGATGTAACTGTCGCCATTTTCCTGGATAGTAAAATGAGAGGATTTTACAACAAACAATATGGCGAAAATTGGATTGTCGAGTTTAAAAATGTTTTAATTATGGAGTGTAAGTGGACTATCTTTGCCATTTTTATGTGTATATCAAAGAGAAAGTAAAACACGATTACTCTGTCGACTCTTTTGACTTAAAAATCTAATTTTACGACACAATTCAACAGCCATTTATTTGGGAGTATATTCGATCGTAGGTTTTAGTTTATCTTTACCAGGATGTCTTAATTAAGCAATCAAAAATACGTTATGACTCGTCATATATTTAAAATGAACTATACAAATGATTTTAACAAGCCTTCATTGTTTAGAAGATTAATTTTCGTGATTGAATGCTTTAAATAAAGTAACTCTATGACAATCAAAATAGAAATATACGTTCATGTACAGTTTATAATTTGTCTGATTACTCATAATTACGCTTAGATATGATAGATTTGGGCTAATGGAACAATAAAAAACTAGCACTGTTTTCAGAGTTTTATATCTTAGTGCCTACTGTAAAAATGGGATACATGATTTTCAGCAATAATGAGAATTTACACCCTGCTTTTTAGTTTCTTGTGAGCAAAACATTTGTAACTCTAAATCCCAAGGAAATGCTTTTGTTTAAATACTTACATATACCCAACAAACTTAGTGAACATATACAAACATGACTAATCAAAAATAGGTATCAAACTAAATTAGGGAAGGTTTTCACTCTTGAAATAAACACACTGCATGACTTCTATATGGACTGAACAAAGCAGTAGTAAGAAAGTGTATTTATCCATCATCGCCCCATTATTGAAGACAAGAAATATTGTTTGTATGGTTAGATAATATATCATTTTGATTTATTCATGGTTATTTGTATAATACGTCCTTTAAATCACATGCCAGCAAGAGAGTATTCAGCATTATTGATTATACATTGTACGCATACAAATACTACATAATATTTCCAGGGATTACTGCAGACGAATTGCTAAAACAACAAAGATTATCTAAAACGTACAAGTCGAAGCCGCCGAGTAAGCGAGTATACTCCCAATAAATCGCAGTCAAACAGTATTGTAAAATTTGATATTTAGTCAAAAGAGTCGATGACGTAAACGTTTATAACCTTCTCTTTAGATTAATCATAAAAGTGGCAAAATTGTCCTCTTAAACTCCATAAAGCTCGACAATTCAATTTTCGCCATATTGTTCATAGTAAAATTCTCCCATTCACCTGAGAACATGGTGAAGTGCACTTCCGACAATTGTAGGCGTGACAAAAGAATTCAAAGGAGTGTCCTTCTCGTTAGTTATGTACTCTATGCCAGCATGCTTACAGCGGCTTATATTGGACTATGAACCCTTCAACAAGGCAGCATCGTTAAATGTTTGTAATGTAGATCGTTTACGGTAGTAGAGTCGTGCAAAAAACCGCTTTTAATAATGAGGATATATGTTTCAAAATCCTTAGTGGTAGTCGTCTTCAGAGTGAAGACTTCAGAGATACACAAGCAAATATTTTCTCTTCACAACATACAAGGAATTTCATGTTTGTAGATGTAGATCGTCCAGTTTAGTAGAGTCCTGAGAAGGACTGTTGTAGTTGATGTAAAGTGACGTTTCGACTATCTCAGCGGTAGTCCTCTTCAGAGTCAAATAAAGAGTAAACGTCATGTAACTGTATTTCTTATCTGGTTCTTACGTCATAAAATATCCAAAACTTTTGACTTATAATTTAGAAATCGATAGAACGATTTAAAAGCGTTCAAATATAGAGTGCACACGTTTTTTTGTTTAATAAGTTGACAATGATAGGAGCATGTCTTTTATATATATATTTCAGGGTTGTTTTACCTTGAATGTTTTTCATGCAACCATAAGTTTTCTGTCATGCAGATTTTTATACATCACCAGAAATTACAGACATTTTGCAACTACGCTCGTACTCAGCGGTTACTTTTTTAAGTAACTAATATTCGATAGGCGTGGGAGTTTCACAAAGGTTTATAAGGCTCGTAAAACAGGGGCGGCTCTAGGATTTTTCAAACATCAATCATGAACGCCGAAAGCCTTCCGCACCTTCGAAAATTACGATGTTTGACAATTTGACAAAAATATGCAAATGTATAGAGTCTCATAGCAACACATTCAAAAGCGACAACCTTATTCATTATTCTACCGAAGCAAATTTGTCATAAATTTAAGAGCTTTGGAAGTACTCAATCGCGACTAAATCAACTATTTAGTTAAAATTCCAGTAAGCAAACATTGGACTTTAGTTTAAGAGTGTGGGACTTTGGACATGAGGACCAGGTGATGCATTCTTTGCCCGAGTTCGTCAACCATTTTCAGCATACTTATATAATCGCTATAGAAACAGCTGCAAATCAACATTCTCGTCACATATCGGGGGAAGTATTTATACTTCGTTTTCTTTTATCATTTTTAGGTAATTTATAATGTTTGGCAGCTTTACCACATTTATTGAGTGTGGTAGCTTGGTAATATTCTATATTATCATGTGCAATTTTGTATTTAAAATTTCCACCACTGTGTTACTTATAAAAAACAGACGTCATTTTGAAAAAATATAGCTTCCTCATCAGCCATTATGTCCCACATTTCGGAGCAGATCTCAGTTTTCAAATTGGTAAACATAAAATCTTTATTACCTTGTACAAAGTACACAAAGTCATTAAAAGTACAATTTAGAACACTAGACGTCTTCGACACTCACATTAACTCAACGATTCATTTTCCTTCTCAGTCACTTTGACAATAGCCCAAATCTCTTTCAGATAAAAAGCGTTAAACGCATTGTCAGTGTCAGCAAAATTTACCTAAAACCTTTAAACTAGCACATTTTCGTCAGTGAGCTTGATAGCTAAGTTTTTTAAAAAAATTTTTCCAAACCAATGTTTAACACTAATTTTGGTAAAACTCAAACACAAAACATGGATACCTAATTCATGGTCCAAATTGCTTGATCGTGAAAGAGAGTCAAAACAGACAGTGCTACCTTGGAATGGTATTTATAGCTTAAAAACGCTTCTTATTTTGAAGATTATCACACATCTTTATTCCAAAATGTTAATTATAGCCTAACTTATAACTGGAATGAAAATTAGTTCTACAATTAATGATCAGAGACTGTTGTAAGAAAAAGTGCAATGTAAAGTCCGTGGCATCGCATGTGTAACACATTCTGTTGGTTTCCTTTCCTTTCTACAAGATTACTGTGCGCTATATATAGTGTTATGTTGTAAGGTTCTAACTGCTTGGTGGTTTTGGATGTAAGGTTCTTGATTATCATTCAATAAACTCTTTCATTAAGAAGATATGAAATTGTTTTCTGCAGCACAAAATGAAAACCTGCAGCAGCTGCTGATGACTTGTAAAGTAGGCGCTTTTGTATTTTTAAAAGCCGATTTGTCATGCTTTTGTCAAGCCGATGTGCAACGTCTAATATCTCGTAATAAGGATTTTATGGCAAACAGGGCGTGCAAGACAAGTTTTAACTTAATTTCTGCCGATCATAGCTGGAGTCGGGAAGGTTAGTTTGACTAGTTCACATTGTTGCAAAATTAATTCCAATTCACATCCTTCGGTTACATTTAAACGATGGATGACAACACCATGGTGGAAAAAGTAATTAATAAGACTTTTAAGCACAATATAAAGAATATGAATTTAGTCCACTCAGTGTGCAACTGTCTACTAATCGTCAAAGATATCTTTCAAAATTTTAGACACAAATTTATCTTTGTTGCATTTTGTGTACCTTTCATTTACAGGAATAGTGATAGTCTATGCACACGTATTGCCATATATTCTTTTGCTTATCAATGCAATCATGATAAAACTTGAGAAAGCTTTTAAAGTTAGGATAATTTAAGCCACTACCAAACTGCAGAAAATCATTGAGTGGTAATGTTTTAAAGGGACGAATCATCAATTGCAATTTCCTCATCAGGGTGATTCTAATCAGGGCATGCTAGCACATTTAATGACAATTTACCATATTTTGCCTTTTAAAAGTTGTTACTGGTGATAAACTCTTTCAGTTTAGTACAGTCAGAAAAATACACACATGGGAATTTTGCTTGATCGTAGTACTTGTAGCCACAATATTCGTCGACTGAAGCCATTAACGCAACCACGGAAAGAAAATTCATACGGCTTCAGTTTGTCATAACCATCAGATTGCGATATAAAATTTGGTCCAGGAAAACTATACTACGCCTATGCAAACGACACTTTTTTAGTAATTTAAAACCGACATCGCATTATTAGTGCGACAAGGGGACGAAGAGAATTTCATTGGTGCCGTTATCTCAAAACATATCACATAGAGCAATACCCATTTAATCTATCTGGTCCTGCAAACATTTCTTTTTTTATTATTTCTCTAGCTCTGGCCTCTCTTACATCATCTACCAGTTTAAGGTGGTGAAATCCAAAATCTCTTAATAATTCCT